AGCCGACCATGGACCGGTCACAATCTGACCGACACGGCCTCCTCCGGGCGGCACACGCTCAGCGGACGCCATGGGGGCAGCCGACCGCTGAACGCGGTCACACCTCTGCCGACAGGCCCTCCTCCGGGCGGCACACGCTCAGCGGACGCCAGCGGTGGAGGCAGCCGACCGCTGGACGCGGTCACACCTCTGACCGACACGGCCCTCCTCCGGGCGGCACACGCTCAGCGGACGCCAGCGGTGGAGGCAGCCGACCGCTGGACGCGGTCACACCTCTGACCGACACGGCCCTCCTCCGGGCAGCACACGCTCAGCGGACGCCAGCGGTGCGCCCGCTCCGGCCAGCGCCGTCCGCGCGTGCCCGCCTGGCGCCGCGGCCGGCGGCCACTCACCAGCAGCGGGTTGTAGCAGCCGTGGTCGGCGAACTTCTCGGCGTCCCGGCCGTACAGCGGCCGCTCCGACAGCCGCTCCAGCATCGACGTCTGCGGCGGCGCGGCGGGGTCAGCTGGACGGCTTACACCGCTCCGGGCCCCGACCGACCGCGCTCGCCCGAGTGTGACAGTGCATACATTCACATTCAAATGTTCTTCACGATCATGCTCATTGTCGCAGGCAGGACCCTTGCCATGACATCTCCCCAACAAAGCTTCGAGTTCAGTGGGAGCTTCGAGTTCGAAAGAGAGCTTCGAGTAAACCATGAGAAAGCTAGGAGCGCCTCGGTTGAACATAGCGCCCGCAGCAAACCTTTATCTTCGCACCTGTTCGTCATGAGTTGCATGCCGTCACCATTGAACGGTCAAACACCAATCTTGACTCCCGACCCCAGAAATCATATCTAGCTCCCTCCCCTCCCCATCCCCCTTACCTAATCTCCTGACCTGACCGACGCCCCGGCCGGACCTCCGGAGCCTGACGTCACCACCTCAGCTGACACCGCCCGCAGAGCCCCACCGCCCGACGCCGGCGCCGCGCGCCTCCCTCTCCTCACCTAATCTCCTGATCTGACCGACGCCCCCGGCCGGACCTCCGGAACCTGACGTCACACTCAGCAGCTGACACCGCCCGCAGAGCCCCACCGCCCGCCGCCGGCGCCGTTCGCCCTCCCTCTCCCCTCACCTAATCTCCTGATCTGACCGACGCCCCCGGCCGGACCTCCGGAACCTGACGTCACACTCAGCAGCTGCACCGCCCGCAGAGCCCCACCCCGCCGCCGCGCCGCGCGCCCTCCCTCTCCCCTACCTAATCTCCTGATCTGACCGACGCCCCCGGCCGGACCTCCGGAACCTGACGTCACACTCAGCAGCTGGCACCGCCCGCAGAGCCCCGCCGTCCGCCGCCGGCGCCGCGCGCCCTCCCTCCCTGACCTAATCTCCTGATCTGACCGACGCCCCCGGCCGGACCTCCGGAACCTGACGTCACACTCAGCATCTGGCACCGCCCGCAGAGCCCCGCCGTCCGCCGCCGGCGCCGCGCGCCCCTCCCCTCCCCTCACCTAATCTCCTGATCTGACCGACGCCCCCGGCCGGACCTCCGGAGCCTGACGTCACACTCAGCAGCTGACACCGCCCGCAGAGCCCCACCGCCCGCCGCCGGCGCCGTTCGCCCTCCCTCTCCCTCACCTAATCTCCTGATCTGACCGACGCCCCCGGCCGGACCTCCGGAGCCTGACGTCACACTCAGCAGCTGACCCGCCCGCAGAGCCCCACCGTCCGCCGCCGGCGCCGCGCGCCCTCCCTCTCCCCTCACCAAATCTCTGATCTGACCGACGCCCCCGGCCGGACCTCCGGAGCCTGACGTCACACTCAGCAGCTGACACCGCCCGCAGAGCCCCACCGCCCGCCGCCGGCGCCGCGCGCCCTCCCTTCCCCTCACCTAATCTCCTGATCTGACCGACGCCCCGGCCGGACCTCCGGAACCTGACGTCACACACACAGCAGCTGACACCGCCCGCAGAGCCCCGCCGCCCGCCGCCGCGCCGCGCGCCCTCCCCTCCCCTCACCTAATCTCCTGATCTGACCGACGCCCCGGCCGGACCTCCGGAGCTGACGTCACACTCAGCAGCTGACACCGCCCGCAGAGCCCCGCCGTCCGCCGCCGGCGCCGCGCCCTCCCCTCCCCTCACCTAATCTCCTGATCTGACCGACGCCCCCGGCCGGACCTCCGGAGCCTGACGTCACACTCAGCAGCTGACACCGCCCGCAGAGCCCCGCCGTCCGCCGCCGGCGCCGCGCCCCCCCCTCCCCTCACCTAATCTCCTGATCTGACCGACGCCCCCGGCCGGACCTCCGGAGCCTGACGTCACACTCAGCAGCTGACACCGCCCGCAGAGCCCCGCCGTCCGCCGCCGGCGCCGCGCGCCCCTCCCCTCCCCTGCCCTGACCTGGAGTCCCCAAGCGGCGGCGTATCGCGACTGGAGGACGGGCCCCAGCTGCTGTGGGTCGCCGGCCAGCACGGCCTGGCCGTCCAGCGCCGACACGAGGCCCAGCGCCACCAGCGTTTCCGGCTCCGTCATGTGGCCCGCCTCGTCCACGAACGCGTGTGTGAAGTGACTCTGCCGCAGCCCCAGCCGGTACAGGTTGCCTGCCGGGGCGCCGACAGGGGGCACGATCAGCAGCCGCCCACCGCGGCGCCCCCGTGCGCGACCCTCAGTACGGAGAAGCCGGCGTGAGTACCAGCACTAATCTACGGACACACCGATTAGTTTGACACACCACCGAGCGTCAGCAGAGTGAGTATCCAAAATACGCCAGTGTGCATTCACTTACATACGATCTAGTCACCAGCCCTTACTGCAAGAAACACGGCCGCGGGCAACACCGACGCTTCCTTTCGTTGCATATAAATGACTTTAATAGCACAGGCTTCGCATCGAGCATGAGCATCCATGAGACTAGCTCCAGCTGGCCAGCAGCGTCGCTGCGCCCGGCCGGCCGCCGCCGCGCCTACGGACCTAGGGCGCCGGCGGTGCCGACCACGATACGGCGCCGGGAGGCGGCCTCCAGAGAGTCGCCGGACATGACGTACGGCTGCACCGGCTCCGGACAGGCGTCCCCGGACCTGGCGACACCCCGGCGCACACATCAGCGGCACCCGCCGCCGGGCGACACGAGCGCTCCCAACACCACTCCAAGTACGCCACTCTACTGTCCTCGGCTTTCTGGCGTATCAATAACTTAGCATACCCATCCCGCACTGCATTAGAAAAGGCTGTTTAGACCATTCTGGCCTCTGTAGAAACGCTCGTTATTAAAATACACGGGACGCTACCTCTGAAAAGCCTTGTCCAGTGCGTCCCCGACGTCTACCCCTGCCAGCCCCTGCCACCCCCTACCATCGGCCTCTGCCAGCCCCTGCCATCGGCCTCTCCCAGCCCCTGCCGTCGGCCTCTGCCAGCCCATGCTGTCGGCCTCTGCCAGCCCATGCCTTCGGCCCTGCCAGCCCCCGACGTCGGCCTCGGGCAGTCCCTGTCGTCAGCTTCACCCCCCCCCCCCCTCCCCCTGTCGTCGGAGTTCTGGCCGACGTTCAGCCGTCGGCGGCACGCGCGGCACCCACCGGTTGAAGGAGGTGACCGCACCAGAGCCGCGCTGTGCACGGCGCCGCTGGCGTGCAGCCTCTCCGTGATGAGATCGGCGGCGCTGTTGGAGGGCGTGGCCACCAGCAGGCTGACGGCCCCGGACACGACAGCCGGTCAGTCACACACGCCGGCCCTCCCGGACCACCTCCGGCCCTGGCGCCGCAGCGGGCCAACACGGGCCGCGCACCAGCTGCCGACCGACGCACCGGTCCACCGCCGGCCCGAGCACACCAGCTCCGGCTCACTGACATGACATCACATGACATCGCACGCATGACACTCACTGACAACACGTCTGCGAACACTAACCAGGTGTCCCAGATCACGGGAAGAAAGGCGAAGGACGGCATAGAACACCTGCTGAAACAAATCACGCTGTGCTCCGGCTCGCCATGCGAAGCAAAGAGCCGGCGAGACTGCGCACTTTCGCAGGGAGACGTACCGACTGTTAGGGCACATAGTGTACACCTGGAGGATGCACTCCACCACCGTCACCGTTTTGCCGGAGCCCGGCGGGCCGTAGATGATGTACGGCAGCGGACGGGCCATCCCTGTGAGAACACGACCCGGGTCAGCCAGGGTTTCGCTCGCAGCCGCCACATATACCGCCAACGTCCGCCGTGGCGTCTGGCCTAATGGGTCACGCGGGATCACGTACGTGGCATCTGGCCTAATGGGTCACGCGGATCACATACGTGGCGTTGGCCTAATGAGTCACGCGGATCACATGCGTGGCGTTTGACCTAATGGGTCACGCGGGATCACATACGTGGCACGGCAGTTTCCAAACACACAGCGGGGTCTCCAGCATGGAAGGCACCACCGCACGCCTTCAGCGTTGTCGTTCCGCCGCCGTTCCCCGCCCGACGCACGGCGCTGTCGCCCGTCAGTCAGCCGACCCTGCGCCTGGGCTAGTCAGCGCCGGCCGGCCTCACCTTTGAGCACGCGGCGGACGGCCGACCTCTGGCGGGGCATTCAGCGCCCGGTTGAACCAGCGCAGCAGCCTGGACGCCAGGTCGCTCGGCGCCGGCGCGCTCAGCAGCCGCGGCACGCAGAAGCTGCCCGCGCCGGCCCCGTCTCCGTCGGCCGCCGTCAGCAGCGGCAGCGGCGGCGGAGGCGACGGCGGCGGCGGCCGGTCGCGGCAGCACGAACGGCGCCCGCCGCGCGCCCGGCACCGCAGACAGCGCGCGCAGCCGGCCGGCGGCCGCCGCGTACGCGCGGGCCGGCGATTTGAGCGGCGACGGCGGCGTCCGAGAGGCGGGCGGCGGCCGACGCCCGGTCCGTCCGTCCCGGCGGCGGCGACGGCGACTCGGACCGAGGCGGGCAGCCCCCGGACAGAGTGGGCCGCTGCTCGGCGGAGAGCGGGGGCGGCAGGGGCGGTGGGCGGGGAGCGGGGGCGGCGGCTGCTGCGGCGCCGTCCCCTGCCGCCGGGACGGCCCGGGCCCGGCCCGGGCTCGGTCGCCGGAGCCGGCACAGCGCACATCTGCGACGGCGACCGACTTGAACAAGCGGTCGACGACGGCCTGCGGCGGCGGCTGCGGCGGCGGCCGGGCGTCCCGGCGCCGGCGCCTCGTCCTGAGAGCCGCCATCGGTCGACACGTGAACGACAGGTCCGACTCGGACTGGCCGTCGGTCGCGGGCCGGAGCTCCGGCGGCGGCCGGCGCCGCAGCGCCTCCCGCCGTCGTCCGGTGGCCGTTAACGAGGCGGCTCGGGCCCGGCAACCGGCCGGCCCGCGGAGCCGGCGCACGCCGCCTCCGGTCGTGGCGCGGGCGTGACGCCGTTTACAGCGGGTGGCCGGCGCCCGGCGGTCTGGTCTCGGGCCGGCTGTGACGGGGGCACGTCTGGCGGGCCGTTCACGGCGGGCCCGGCACCCGGCTTCTCCTCCTGTTCTGGCGGCGAGGGCTTCACCTCCGCGGCGGACTGGTCGTTCAGATCGAACGATACCCGCTTGGTGTGGAGAGCACACGGGCGGCTCTGACCAGCAGGCCTCTTCCACAAAGCTTACCTGCGCAGAGGGACCGCTTGGGAGCATAAAACTAACACCAGAAAGCAATCACTGAATGTTTCTAAAACAAACTAATTCGGCGGAAAGGTCTTGACGAGTCAAACAAAGAAGTCAATCGAGGGGCCCCGCCTTACATACGTGCTGGATATGGACGAAATCGCGAACAATGCATGATCTGTTCGCACCACTGCCTTCTGAGTAAAACTCTGCATTCTTCATTTTTTATGGCATGTAGCCTCGGCTGCCCGCTCGCCAGATTTCCGTTCATTCTGGTTGGACGTCAATTACAGCATGGGACACCAAACCTGAGCTAGCAGCATAGACAGTGGTCCATCCACTTTTGGACGCATACAGTTTGTCTCACACAATCCAAGAGCAGGAGAACAAAGCGCACCGTGACGGGGTCCCCTCAGCGCGGGCGGTCACCTGCGGGAGCTGGACTGTGACCCGGCTGGGGGGGGGGGGGGGAGCCTCACCCCCTGCGCGGGCAGTCACCTGCAGCGGCTACACGGTGACCCCGCTGGAGGGGGAGGGGGGGGGGGGAGTGAGCCCCAAGCCCTGCTGGGGTGGTCACCTGCTGGCAGCCGGACGCTGACCCGGCTGGGGAAGAGGACGCCGGCGCCGAGCCGCGCCACGGCCGTCTCCACGGCCCGGTGCAGCTGGCGCAGCTGGCTCCGGCTGAACTCGAAACGACGCGTTGTACTCCTGGCCCGTGTAGCGCTGCTGGAAGTCCGGGTGAAACATGAGCTCCACGGCCGAGTGGCGCACCTGGTGGATGTGGCCCTCGTACTTCAGACCTGCCGGCAACAGAGCGGCGCCCGTGAGGTCTCTGTCTGTCTGTCTGCCTGTCTCTGTCTCTGTATCTGTCTCTCTCTCTCTCTCGTACTGGAAACCTCCGGAGAACAGAGCGATACGCGAGGGCACGGCGCGCCCCCCTTACACTTCAGACAAACCGCAAACAACGGAGCAGCAAAAGGCACGAGGCGGTGGATGACACCGCGCTTACATGAGGTGCTTCCATTTCTCAATCACCCGTGAACCTTCCAGTTGCACATGTTGTACACCAGATATGGCCTCCTAAGCACGCGTGTCGCGCGTTAGCGCTCTTACAGAGGCCCAGAGAACGTGCGGGGCGCATGTTCGTGTACAGCGACCGTGTCGGCGCACAGAGCCCGCGACCGCGCTGAGTCCAGTTTGAACTCGGCGGTGCAGGCGTGCCAGCGAGGCGAGACACACAAGGGCGCGCCTACCCTGCACCGTTCCAGCGCCCGGGTCACCGTCCCAGGCGTGGGGCGGCGCACGGAGCGCCGGCCGGCGGGCCAGCTGCGGCCGGGCCACTGACCGGACTCCTCGAAGGGGTGCGAGAGCAGCACCTTGTCGCCCACCACCAGCGACGGCCGACTCTCGGGCCAGCCCGGGCACCGCCAACTGGAGGCACTCGCCGGCGCGCGACAGCGCCACGCCCGTCAGGTCGAACTGGCGGATGTGCCGGATCATCTCCACCTGCCGGACGGCGGGCGTCAGGCGCGACGGGTGGCGAGGCGGTCAGTCGCGCACTCTGCCGGGGCCCTAACACCCTCCATCGCTCGGCACCGCCTGGCGCCAGACACATGGCATGACATCAATCCCAACAGGAACTTATGTCGTCACCCACCGCGCTTGACGTCCAGCTACCGCCCCAACGTCGAGGGCCACTGTGGGGCGGACTGGGGCGGCGCTCGCTCGCCGCGCGGTCTCGCGCCCGTCGGCCCGACGAGCGTCAGACGTCGGGCCGCGGCGGCGCCAGCCCACCTCCTCGAGGAAGAGCAGCAGGCTGAGCCGCTTGTCGGTAGTTGTCGGCGGTCAGCGGGTCGGCCAGGCACGGGTAGTGCTGCAGCAGCTGGTCGCCGTCCATGGCCAGCAGGCGCGGCGGCAGCGGGTACGGCGCCAGCCGCGCCGACACGAACGGCGCCGGCTTGAAGGCCGGCTGGCCGGGCACCACCACACAGCCCTGGCGGCCGTCCAGCTCGGCGGCGGCGGCGCGCGGCCGACGGCGCGCCGCCGCGCCCGGTCGCAGCCGGTGAGCGTCCGGGTCCTCCACGGTCACGCTCAGCCAGCGGCCGATCTGGAAGGCGCCGAACTCGAGCAGGCAGAGGGCGCGCGCAGCGCCCAGCAGATGCGCCCGGCAGTGCACGGCCACCGCCGCCTGGCCGCCGGCCGGCACCTCGGCCGGCTGCGGCAGCGCCGCCGAGAACTGGCCACCCGAGTCCGAGAGCAGGCGGACGGCGGCCAGCGTTACCGCGGCGCCGCTGCCGTTGCGCACCACCAGCGCCGCCTGCCGGCTCTCGCCGCACTTCAACTGCCGGAAGTCACCGTCGCCGGCGACCGTCACCCCGTGTTTGTCCTCGAGCAGAGCGGCTGAGAAGGCGGTGGCGGCAGCAGCGGTGGGCGGCGCGGCCGGCGCCGGGCGCAGCCAGGCGCGCGCCTCCAGCGCCGCCACACGGACAGCGCGCCAGTTGAGCGTAACGCCGCGCGGCGTCGTCTGCGAGCTCTCGACGGCCGAGCAGCGCACGCGGTCCCCGCGCCGCGGCAGGTACGGCAGCTGCCAGGCCGACGCGTGGAAGTACACCTGGCAGGGCGGCGCACAGTCAGACCGTGCTAAGAGGCGCGCGGAGCCGGCAGCTGCGGAGAGCCAGCGACGTCTTTCCTCCACGAGACAGTCACACATGAACCGTCCCCGAGAGCTCATCCAATAAAAACCACATGCCGAGCTATATATTTCAAAGAGAGCAAGCACACAGGACCATCAGAAGGTTCAAAATCTGGCATGGTTTGGAGCGACACAACAGCAGCCGTCGCTGAAAAGAACACCAGCGTGCCGCGATCTACTTATGCGGCCGGTGGGCGATACGGCGCCGCCAGCTCGTCACCTGGTTATCGACGAGCCCGAAGACGGGCGGCTCGTGAGCGACGAGCGTCACCTCTCCGTCGAGCTGCCAGCGGCGCAGCGGGCGCACCTGGACGCACGCCTCGGCCGTCACCTCCAGCGGGATCGGCTCGCTGCTCTCCACCTCCAGCCAGTCGCCTGGCGACCAACCGTCAACCAACCGTCATCCAGGCGGAATGACCCACGTAGTGATGACGTTACAACGGCACCTCGCACGATAGCATGCGTGCACCCAGCACCGGAGGCGTTTATCAGCGCAACCTTTACAGCACAGTGAATGCAAAGGTCGCATCGAGCCACCGACTCCCATGTAACTGACGGTGACTGCGCTTAGGAAGGCATAGTTGCGTCATTCATGTACACATGCTCTCCCTAAAGCCAACAACACTGCACATATAACCCCGGCCTCGCATGGGCCGCACCTTCCATAGGCACGAAGTCGATCTCGGCGCAGCCCTGGTGCAGCCGGTACTCCAGGTCGCGGTCGGCCAGCACCAGCACGCCGGCGTCGAAGCGGCGCAGCTGGCCCACCAGCCGGTTCTCGGCCGGCGCATGGCCGGTGTCCCGCTCCCACTCGTCACTGACGGGCTCCACGTGAACGGCGAGCCAGGCGTGGCCGGCGTCCCTGCGCCGCGACTGGCCGCGCACCAGCTCGCCCACCTCGGGCAGCCTGCCGCCGCGCACGGCCGCCGCCTCGAACCACACGTCGCCACTGACGGTGCCCGCCCTCGGGCGACACGCTCAGCACGCGGCCCTCGAACCAGCAGCGCTGCTCGTCCGGCCGCGGCTCGTCCGCCGGGAAGAAGAGGTGTAGCGGCGGGGGCGCGGCCGCTGGCTCCGGCCGCGGCCACAGCCAGCCGCGCACGGCCTCCAGCATGGCGGCGGCGGCGGCGGCGGCGGTGGCGGCGGTGGCGGCGGCGGCGGCGCGGCGTCGGCCCCGCCGTGACGCGCGCGGGCCGCCGCGGTAGTCGCTCGCTCGGGACGGTCGCGGCTGCCGAGTCTCCCTACACCGGCAAACACAGCAGACTTCAGAATTCTTGAGAAACGCGAGGTGAGAGAATACAGGCAGAAAATCAGAGGACGCGGCTAAAACGGCTTGCATTCTCATACTTCCAGTCGGTCTCGCTGATGTAGTCAAGTGCCTTTTTCAGCTTCCTCAGCCGTTTCAGGTGGTCCTCCTGGCGCGAGTCTGCTAAGTTTTTCTCCACCTGCAAAACACGGGTCCTGTTCTGTGACAGAGCAACGTCGTGCCTGACGTACAGAATGGCACCTCACAGTAGACTTGGCACTTCTGTGCCCTATACACAAGCTGGATTAATGCTCCTTAGAAAGGAGTATAACATCAATTCCAGCATAGAGATAAAAATTAAGGGAAAAAACAGCAATATAACCTTTATGAACTATCTGAAACAGAGTAAAAGCTATCAAGACTTGTGTGAGCCCTGCTGGTGAACATGCTTAATAAGTCACTTGGCTCTGGAAGTCAACACATCTCAGATGTGGCCCACCTCCTGCTCAAACCAGTGCCGGGACTGATCGGCTGACTCGCCACGCTCCTGAGCCTGCTGCTCCGCCTGCTGGCTGGGTGAAGACAAAGCAGCTTCCTCGGTGCCACACTGTCAGCATCCATTTTCAACACTCATCTGAAATCTGAAAAGAAAACAATGTGGTGTGAGGGTGACAGTGGCTGGCAAACATATGGTATGCTTGTTTACATGTTGCACTTCAGTGTTCAAAAAGCTTCTGTCCAACTTCACTGATGACCAGCCTCTTTTTTGGGTGCCCTGCAATGAAATGAAATTTTGCTATGCAAGCACAGAGCACTGATCATGAACACACACCCTTTGACCTGTAGGATCCAGGCTTGAAACCACACCACCCTCTGATGAGCATGTGGGGCTCTCTTCACTAAACAATCCAACCATGAGAGGTACATGGTCAGCATTTAAGCACAATCACTTTGCCAGTGCATTCACACTGTCAGTGAGCTCATGTGGGGCTCTACAAATGCCTACAATCACACAATTTTTGGTAGGAAAATTCGTTGTATGTGGCTGGGTGGGAGGATCAGCAAATATGAAACTTAGTGACTGTCTCATTCAAGATGGTGGATATGGAGCACGAGTTAGTTGGCTTAACTGTGCCTGGTGCCCTCAAGGTTGACACAAGGGCAGGGAGTCTGGGGCATTACATGATTACACTGGGCACAGAATGAGCCACAAGAGCCAAACTTAGGGTGTGGCTGTGTGGATTGTGACTGATGTGTGGGCTGCAACTTCTATGTGGGCCACAACTGATTTGTGGACTGTGACTGATCTGTCACATTCTGTGGGATGAGAAGAAAGCATAAATGGAAGCATTGCAGACAGTAAAGTAACAAGATGTAAGAGAAATGCATAACAACCTACTGGATGAGATGGCAGCATTACATTCTCCAAGTGGTGAAACTGACAGAATGTAGTGCCTCTGTAGATGCAAGAGTGATAAAGCAGTGAAAGACCTGGTCCAGGCAGCTGGTCTGGTTCATTGCCAGCTGGACAACAAGGGTGATTCTATTGGTCAATGTCAGCCTTGCTGCTGCACTGGATCAATGGCAAGCTGGCAGAGTGCCATACATCTGATTGAAGTCATAGCACAAAACCAGGGCCAATACCCCATATGATGAAAAATTTATTTTTCTGTAGGCTAAGGATTAACCAAAAATATCTGAAACATGGAATCAAAGGCTTTGGAACTCAGGCATCATTTTTGTTAGAGATTTTCAGACTGTCTTGGTTAGAAGAAAGTGATCATGTGGAGTCAGGTTTATAACTTCCAGTGGCCTGCAGTCAGACCCATTAGAAAACTATAGCTATATGTCAGGAACAGCACTGTTCATGGTCTGGAAGAATTCTCCCTTTCCAACTTAAAGCCCTTCCTACATGCCAAATCACAGGCCTGGTCATCAAATAGTATAAAAATATCTTTATTTTGTATTGATGCTTCAGTATTCCATAACATAAAGTTTAAATTGTATGGCAGGTGACTAGTTTTCCATTTCACATCACTGAGTTTCATGTATCAGGGCAGAAGAGCACTTGTATGAAGGGGCTTCATGTCATGAGGTACTCAAATGGGCTTGAGAGCACTATGCTGGTAACTTAATGTCACTCCTTGTCAACAGTGCTGATGCAGACTTCTTTTTAATAAGATATATCATCACAACCACAGGGTTGTCCTCTGGTTCCGGTAACGGGCCTCAAATTGTCATTCGTTAAATGGCCACAATTTGTTCACTCGAATCCTGTGGAAGCGGGAACTGGAATGAAATGGTAAGGGTAGTCTACACCACGCTCCCTTTTACTTTACCCCCCCCCCCCCCCCGCCCCTTCCCCCCACACACACACAAAGAACCACATAACCAATTTAAAAAATGAATGTCGAAAGCATCGCTCGTCCGCACACCCCCCAACACACCGTTCTCTCATTTAAACCGTATGACGTACAAATGTATGCCGTTGTTAAAGTGCCTTGTGAATGCCCAAGCCCCGCATTACTGCATTCTGGGGTAGCGATACTGTGACGTCATCTTGGGACTAAGTCATATGACGCCAATGCTACAGCCGCGAGAAAACGCCGTTTTTGAGGGCTTGTTTGAACATAAATATTTTAATAAACCGAGCTTTTTAAGACCTAGGACATTCAATGGAGCATTTTCACCTGCGAATAAACTCATTTACCAGTTAATTTATCCCGGAGAGTTCTAGCCGGAAGTGCATAGAAAGCCTGTGTAAGAGAGAAACAGCATACAACCGTGTAGGGTCGAGATGAGAACGGCGGTCCAGACGGGCTTGCAGCACCCTGGGACGCACATTGAGAAGTTGGGATGCACTTCCTGTAACATTAGGAGGGGTATTGCATGGGTGGATGCAGGGTTGGCTTGACCTAATGGAGGCAGAGGGTGAGCCCCGGGAGGCATAAATGCAGGGCGTGCCATTTCAGCTCAAGATAGCAAATTGTGTAAAATGGGACATCTGGCAAGCTTTGCGATTTCTGCCAGCCAAAAAGTGGTGGCCCGTTTCTCAACTGGGAAATAGTCTTGGGGATATATAAGGGTAGTCGGGGTGTTATTCGCTGCGTACCGTTTCATCACTAAACCCTGTGGGGTCCCAAGAGCTTTGGGGCCTCTTCTAAACATATCCCTCAATGAATATATATATATATATATATATATGTATATATATTGTAAGATAACGAAGCAATGAAGAGCGCGGCTGACTATTTCAAACGTTAGCGGCACCTCCCTGCGCACCTCCCCCCGCGCCTCCCTCTCTCCCGCTGCCGCCGCGCCGGCCGGTTCGGGCGGCAGTCAGCTGACTCAGCAGACAGGGCTGAGGAGACGACCCCACATGTACCGGCCGGCCGGCTCGGCGTACACACAGCCACCCCCCCCCCCCTGATCTTAGATCACAACACGTCACACATCATACACAGGGTCATACACATAATATAACGCGTCTCACTGGCTCATGTATGGGCGCGCTGCCGTACAGCACAACTTCTCCCCGGCTGCGGCTCTCGGCTCACATCATGATCGTCAACTGCCAGCTCCTCAATGTTCCCTTCCGCCCTGGCTCTGCCTCCGGCGCCCCGGCTTCCCTGACCTCGCGTTCTGCGCCCTGATCCACACGCGGAGCCGCTATTTGGAACACGCTCGGTTCGTCTACACCGGAGCCTTCCGCCGCCCCCCTTTCCTCACTCGCGTCATCTCGCTCCGCCCTGGCGACAAGCAGGTCGCGCACGTGCCGAGGCATCCTGTTGACCCCCACGGTCTGCGCGGACAGCACTTTGGTGACGGTGCCGAGCGAGCTCCGTTTACCACATCGGCGGCCTCGGGTCCCGCACCCCCACACTGTCGCCAACACCAAACTTACATACCAGTACACTAGGCTCATCCACCACTCTGTCAATTCCGCGCACGCGAAGCTCTTACCGGTGTGCCGCGTTCGCAGGCGCGGTCTCATGTCCCATCCCGTCCCTCGGTGTCACACTGTACGTATAGACCGCTTCAGCCACCGAACACTGTGACCGAGCCACGACAGATTTGACCGTTGGGTGGCATCGTTCCACCACCCCCCGCTTCCAGACGGTGCATGAGGTGCACGGAACCGGACCGCGAGCCCCCCACCGCCGCGCGAAGTCTCCAAAGCCTGCATTGTCACTGCCGTCGTCGGCCGGGCGCGCCTGCAGAAATACTGAGTGCGCTTAGCTCCTGGATGTCCAGAGAGTGCAAGCACTCAGCGGATTCCTGACAGCTCCCCCGCGCCTCGTCACTGGAGACGGCGGCGCAGGTGACACGTTGGACGCAGCCGACAGCCACTTCTACGGAACTCGAATCAGAACATCAGCCTTGTTCTCACAGGAGCTCACAAAGCTGACGCTAACTGCCAGCTCGTACTCCTCGATGGTCGGCTTGAAGGTCTGCAGGCGCCGGCGAATCAGCATTCGCTAGCCGCCTTTGTCCTCAGCCGAGCTTTGCCCGAGAGCACGTCGGAGACCCAGTGGTACACGGACCGAGAGTCAGTCATCACACCTCCACAGTCCTGGCTCCCCACACGATGGCCAAATTTGTACCTTTCAGCACAGCGTCCATCTCGGCCATGTTAATGTGCACACGCTCGTCGCGTCGGAACCAGCTCCCGTCTTCCTCTATCTCCCCGTTCACTTCCAGGGCGGCTCCTAGTGCCAACGAACTAGCGTCCACCCACACTCCCGCCACGGCACCGTCCACGTCCCACTGTCCTCCCGCGGGGTCAGCCTCTGCCGCACGGTGCAGCATCTCTTCCACCATCCCGATCATGCGTGCGTCTTTCACTTCCTCATCCCACGATGTTGTCACTGAGTTTATCAGGCGCTTTACGAACGAAGTCACGGGTCGAATCCACCCACAGACCGGCAGATGGGCGATCAGGCGGGCCACACAGGGAGAATACACTCCGTTTAGTCAGTGGTCGCGGCGCGTCGATCACTTCGTTATCCCTCCGCCACACGAGCCGTGCTCGCTTCTCCTCGACGCGCAGTCCAAGCACACAGGCGCCGTCGGACAGCCGCACGGCTGGCTTACAGTCG